ACCGGAGAAGATGCACAACAAGGAACTGGAGAAGATGCACAACAAGGAACTGGAGAAGATGCACAACAAAAAGCTGATAAAAAGGTAACAATGAAAACGAAAAAAAATAATAAAAATAATATTAATAATTTCTTCAATAGGAAATAAATAAAGAAGTTATAGCAGCCTCAGTAAAAGCACTAGTAGTGCCCTTCAATATTGTAGCTACACTAGCTGTATATATAAAATTTTGGCAAAAAGGGGATTTTGATAAAAACGATAAACTTTGGACATATATTACAATCCCTGTAGCATATGGAATAGCTGTTTTAGTTTGTTCTTTAGTGACATTTTTTGTCACTCGTGCAGCTTATCGTAAAAATACAGAAAGTTTATTGTTTTTTTTTTCAATTTGTGAGGCTGCTGCTCCATGTGTCTTTTACTTAGTGGGAGATAACTTTAGTGATGGAAACGATAACATGGATTTATCAATATTGGGAATTTTTTTCCTACTTTTTGGAAAAATATTATATAAACTTTTGCCATATCTAAAAAAATTCGGCATAAACCTGAAAAACATATTTTATGGTGAAGAACCTGAACCCGAACAAGATGACAGTGACCAAGTTGAATTATCATTTTATGAATCGCTTTTTTATGCAGTAATACTGACCATAGCTGTTATCCCTGAGGCCGATGCAATGTTTACTGTATTTGTCGAAGCAGTTGGTCTAACCAATAATATGTGCTTCCCCAGGAAATATGCTATATTGTGGGTAACGTATGGCATAGTACTAATCATTGTTGCTTTAGAAATTATAAATGGCTTTTTGAAAGCATTTCCTATTTACGCAAAAAACAATCAACAAGCAAAAAAAGTTGGCTGTGGCTGTGGTTTATTCGTTTTAGGACTGTTTATACTAGTATCTATTGGTTTTTTCTTAGTTGCTGACAATGACTTGCCACTGGATTGCTCTAAACACCTCAAAAACGATACAAAGGCTAACTACATATTTAGAGTGGTATTTTTAGGAATTTTATTTGCTCTTTCAGTGTTCATTTTCATTGTAGGACTATATTACTGGATTACATTCCTTTGTCAATATTGCAAAAAAGGAAATGAAAGCACTGGAAACAATGCTCAAACAATTGACTAATAGTGGCATAAACCTGATATTTAGTAATTTCTGTTTCGTTCTTTTTTGTGTTGCTAATGTTATAGAATTGAGTGATATTATTTCTGTAATAATTAGTCCTTTTCAAATAATTATTAAAAAAAACAATTGGAAATCTCAGGTCTCACCTCAACTTTCAGTAGCTCTCCTCCAGCCATTGCCTCCAACTGAGCAGCTGTAATCTCATCACTAATCTCTATACCTGCCATCTTCTGTATCACCTCCTTTAGCACCAATAGATCAAAACTAGAGAAGAGATGAGATGACATTTAATAAAAAAAGGAAGCATAGCTCCACCTACCTCTTCCCTGCTTTAAGCTGATTGGTTACGTATTGCAATAATCCGGTGAGATCCACTGGGTATTTCTTAAATATATTAGCAGAGAAAGAGGCCAGTATTTGTAACCAGATGGAGAGGTTTGTATCCTCTAGCTTCAACCGCTCTTTCTGTGGGTTACCCAGTGCCTCTATGATACAATCTATACATGTACTGTTAAGGAATTTATATGATAGGGTATTAGGTATCAATAATACAGTATAATACAGGAGTGGATCAGACAGTACGGAGACTAAGAACTCATCAATATTAATAAGTATTGTCTGAAATATGACATCATATCCACTTAATAATAATAATAATAATACTATTAATAATACACACACAGCCATTAGTAACTGGTACAGTGTTAACATTATAGTAATGAACTGATTACAGAAACACCAGCTGTTGGTGTACTAATAGTATACTAACAATATACTAATAATATAACAAACTAACGCACAACCATAACAGTAGAGAGAGAGTCTAACAGTCTGGACAATATGGCCACTAGCCTATTATCATTAATTATTATTTTATTATTATTATTATCTTTTACTAGACCACAGCACTATAAAGAAGAAGAGAAGCCATTAATTAACTATTGTATACAAGACAAGGACTGTAACCCTCAAATATTCAATAACCAGAATCTCTCACAGTACGTGCAGTGCAGTCATGAAGGACTCTGCCAATGCAGCAGCTGCTTCATATTAAACACTACAAGGAACCAATGCTACACACTGCCAGGCTGTACACTGTATGATAATGTCACTAGAACATGTTATGATATCAGGAAGAGGCGGACTATTGCTATTATATATGCAGCTGCACTCGCAATTGGAGGAGCAGCCAACTTCTACATAGAGAGATGGGAACTAGCAATACCTCAAGCCTTAATAGGTAAAATACATTATTAATTGATAACCACGCCCACCTATTATTAACCACACCCACTAATAATTGATTCTATAGGTATACTATTCACTCTAATGCCACTGGTAGCTCATTGTCTCAAATCAGGTTTGGATTACGAGTTTGACCAGTATGAGTATGAGGGACCAGTAATAAAGGTATCATGGAGCATACTGGGTGTGGCCTGGAGCTTGATAACATTAATAATGGGGGCGTGGTACATTACTGATCTCATTATATTCAGTTTAAACAAGAGAATGGATGGAAGGGGATGCCCCCTTCGTTAGTAATATAATTAATTAATTATTACTAGCCACACCCACTCATTAAAGGATACATGCCAGTACATCGTAAGCTATTGGCGTCAAGTACTTCAAAGAATCAACGACTGGAATAATGAAATTATCATAACGCTGGATCTGAGATAGAACCTGAAGAGAAAAGAATTCCCAAATTTTATAAAGATATGACGGATCAAAGAGTACAATGTCCTTATGATAAACAAAAAGCAACACATGAATACATGTACATGTACTTGCATTGATATTATACCCAAAACCAAAACTGAATCTCAGGTATCACATGTCAAGCACATGTCATGCACATGCCAATGTACCATGTATTAAGTGTATTCTTACACTTAATACATGGTAATACATGGTAATTGTATTACCATCCAATGTACCATGTATTAATACCTTGCAATTGTTCTTTGCAATGGATGACGTGGCTCACAAACTGAATGCATTTAAATCAAGATGTTAAGGACTATGATCAGATCAGTGTGATCAGAATCAATGTGATCAAAATCAGTGTTAACATGATTCTCGGATCTTATAGCTAAAATATCGACCTGTACCTAAAAAGAAAATAAAATTATAAAAATAATAATCAATTATATAATACCTTTTTAACACTGGATAATTGTGTCAATAAGTCCTTGGAATCTAAAATTGAATTTATAAAATCTAAAAATGAAAAACCATCAAATCATCAGCAAATAGAGACAATGGCTACTTTTAAATTTATCTTCAGTTATTTTTGTTGTCTCTCTCTTCCATTTCTCCTCCAGCTCTGAGCTAAAACACTGACACTGTTTCTTTCTGCTCATTTTCACACGTGTAGTGGGTGTGGCTAATTAATATTCATTGTTAATTATTAGTCTCAAAAATACTGTAATAATAATAAGAGTGTCATTTAATTTAGTAATAATGTACAAAATGAAGGGATGAGTGGAGGAGGTAAGTGTGTTAGGATTGGGTGAGATGATCATGTTGGCTTCTTAGCAGCTGGTTTAGTAGTAGAACTAATAAAGAGAAGTTAAGGAAGAAGAACAAGTATAAACTGGTTAATGAACATGTATTATAATAATTACTGAATATAACAGAAGAAGTGTGTGATCATCATTGTTATATTAAATGTGAAAGGTTTATTGGTAATGGGTTAACATGAATGTGTTAATGATAATGATGATTATTATAATGGAGAAAATGGATACAGTTTCTTAATCTTTTCCTCAGTCACAAGAGCAGCAGGAGGACTCTGTAATAAACAAACAAACAAATAAATAAATAAATAAATAATAATACTTTTGCTCTTTTCTTGCTAACATCTGCCTTGTCACTTTTAACAACTTTGATTATTCTTTTCTAAAAACAACCAACAACAATAAATAAATAATAATTCTTTTAGAGTACTTTAGGTTCTGGTTGAGCTGCAGCTGGTGTTTCTTTAGAAGAGTCACCAGGTGCTGATTCCCGCCTTTTCTTAACAGCTTCACTATTGGTAGGAGGATCCTTATCAGGTAACCTTTCCTACAGTGATCAGTATAATTAATAAAGGTTAGAAAAGAGAGAGTATTATCTACCCTTTTTCTCTCTGGTTTTGGTGTAGAGACATTATTAGAAGTCTTTCCACTAGTTTTATCTCCTCCTTCTCCTCCAGTAGGAGTAGCAGCTGCTGCTGCTGTTGTGGTTGTAGTAACCTTTTTATCAGTTGATGGGGAGGAGGCATGTCCCGCCTACACAATTAATTGATCAAAATGGCCGACAAGGTTTTCATACTTTAGCAGGTGTGGATGTTTCCTCAACCTTTCTTTTCTTTGGATCTGCAACAAAAACGCCAAGATTAAAAAATATTTTTTTAAATTATATTTTTAGTGGCTCAGTGTTGGTATAGTAACTATCTGTCATTTGATTGGTCAGAAACACGGACCAATAGCTTCATCATAGCCACAGCAGCAAAAAACCAAACCCACCTTTATCATGAGTTTCAGATGAATTTGATTGGCCGCCTGTGGTTGTTGGGTGTGGTCTCCTCTGACCACGAGGTGAGTCGGAATCAGTTGGACGAGTGACACGCCCACTTGGTAACTTCTCTAAAGATAACATAGGCACTACATAAAAATACAATAATTTAATTAATTAATTAATTAATCATGCGTGTATGCATACAGACAGACCTTTTTTAGATTCAAGAGTGGGTGTGGTGACCACACCTTTCTTTGGTTCGGTGGTACTAGTGGCTGTGGCTTGAATCACTTCATCTTTCTTGATATTTTTAGCGTCAGAAGTAGGCGTGGTTTGTGACGAAACAGGCTCAGTTTTAACAGGTTTACTTGTCTTGACTTCCTCCGATTGTTTGGTCTTTGAATCAGTTGATTTGTGATCAACTTTAGACGATGATTTAGGTTCTGCTTTATCAGCAGCTGCTCCTGTCTTTGCAGTAGCATTATTATTATTATTAGCAGTAGCAGTGGTAGTGGTAGATGACACTCTCTCAGCACTGGGGGTTCTTTTAGATTCAGAACCTCCTCCGCCAGTTTTTGGGGTACTGATCTTGTCTGTCTTTGGTTCGCTTGGTTTTGGAACACTTTTTGGTTTCTCAGTCCGTTCAGTGCTAGATGGTTTCTCAGTAGCGGGCGGAGTCGGTACTTTATTTTCTGAGGATTTCACTTTTTCTGGCACTTTGGGAGCTTTAGTCGATACTTTGGGTTTTTCAGGAGGTTTGGGTTTATCGCTGGCTTGAGATGATGATGGAGCTGGTTTAGGTTTGGGTTTTTCGTCTTTACCATTTGACAAGGTATCTGGTTCCTCCTTTTTAATGACCTGTTAATTAATAATAATAATTAATGAATAAATTATGAAAATAATGAATTACCTTCTCATGGAACTCTGTCTCAGGAATAAGATTAGGAGCTTGTGTCTTTAGCATACCAGCGTAACTAAAAATATAATAATAATAATAACAACAAATAAAAATTTTATCATAATTATCAATGATTGTTAATGTTCCTCTCTCTATCTTACCCAATTGCTAGTACATAAAGATCCTGTCTTTTGTCCTTCTCTTCTTCGATGATCTTACCAACTCTTCTCTCCAGGACCAAAGAGAGATGCTCCACTTTAGGATAATGTGGCAAGATCTAAATAAAAATAGAAGAGAAGACACAGAACAATGACAATAAAGAATACATCAATACCTTTGTTAATAGCAACAGTCCATTTCTGATTTGAATGTAGTCTTTGGATTCCAGACACATCACTAAGGATTTGGTAATCTTGTAGTGCCACTTGTGGGTCACGTGACGATAGTTCTCATAGTCTAAATTGAGTTTCTCGTTGCCGGAGGCTGAGGACTTCATCGTAGAGACAAAACCCTGAGTATTAGCACACTCCTAGATAAACAACAACAACAACAATAATAATAATAATAATAACAACAACAACAACAACAACAACAACAATAATAATGATGATAGTTAATAGCTTACAGCCATATATATTGATTCACTGTTGTGCCAGCGGCCGATCATCTCAAGCAAATAGTACAAGAAATGACCTAAAAATCAATATCAAATCAGTATCAGTGATTCACTGATTCCAGTGTCAAATCTTACCATATCTTCTGACTTCATTCTCAGTACAGGCAGACACAGTGCAAGAAACATCAGAAAACAACTAAAAAATAAAAAATAAAAAATATATATTATTTTAATAATAAATAAATAAAATAAATAAATCACATTGTTTGTCAGTATTGGTGAGATATCAATCAGATATTTCTCAGTAACACGGACCAATAACTTCATCATTACAATGTGCATTAACTCAGTGTCAACTCACTTTATCCAGTAGCAGTATT